TGTCACCGACCAAGGTCCAAACCACTTGGGAAGCAGTTTGCGTGAAACGTCCTGTTCCAGTGCAAACTCTTCCGCGGAGACCCAGACCAGGTCGCCGGCGCGGATGGGACATGGTACTCGATGCCTGTTGGCCTGCTGCTGCATGCGGACTTGAGCCTTTTGCATATTCGCTCGGGCTTGAGCCAGCAATTCCCTGTACTTCCTAACGGAAGCGGGAGAGCAAGCCGCATCAATATCGGCTGGTCGTGGTAGGAGAAGATCGGCGAAGATRCGRCCTTTCCGTCCACCGTGGTGCAACTCGAATGGAGTCACGCCGATCGCCGGGTGCATCGAAGTGTTGTAGGCGAACTCGATGTCGGGGAGGCGGTCAACCCAATCTTTCTGGTCCGGACGAATGAGCGTACGAAGCATCGTCTGAGCCGTCTGATGTGCTYGCTCCGTCTGCCCGTCCGTCTGTGGATGCCGAGCCGAACTTGGTTTCATCTTCGTGCCGGACTCCTTCATGAGTGCAGTCCAAAATGCCGACATGAAGCGGGTGTCGCGGTCGCTGACGATGTCCTCCGGAACACCATGGCCACAGATCCAGCCTGTGTGTAGGAGACGTGCCAACTCGGGAGCCGTGGAGTARTACTTGCAAGGGAGAAACCGCGCGTACTTACTCAAACGGTCCACAACCGTGAGAATGYCGTCGTGTCCGAGGCGGTCGCGGGGGAATGGTCCGGTGACATCCATGGCGATGGAGAGACCGGGTTCCTGCAGGATCGGCATCAGTCGCAGCTCGCCGTAAGGGTTACGGTTGCGGGGCTTGCTTCGTCGGCAAACTTCGCATGAGTCGCAACACTTCGTGACGTCGGTGATGAGGTCAGGCCATCGGAATCGCTGTCGTAGTCGTGCAATAGTGCGGTTGACCCCGAAATCGCCGGCAAGTCGCCCATCATGATACTCGCCAAGGAGGCGAGTCCGTAGTCGGCGGTCGCGAGGGACACATAGTAAGTCCTTGCCCCGCGAGTGCAGGAGCAAGTACCCATCGGCAATGCGATAGTGGCTGGCCGGTGGGTGATCCGAGGATAGCTGCGCATATAGCGTGGCGAATTCTGGATCAGACTCATAGCCCCTGATGAAGTGTTGCTGGAGCTCCTCGTCGAATGCGAAGGTATGATGCGTCAATGYGCAAAGATCGGRTCTTCGCGAGAGTGCATCKRCTGCGCGATTTGAGAGGCCGGCGAGATGTTTCGGTGTGAAGTCAAATTGGTCVATGAAGTACATCCATCGCCCGATCGTGCTGCTCACCGTGTCCTGCRTCTTGTAGTAGGTCAGAGGGTTGTTATCCGTGAYCCATGTGAACCTACGAYGCCCAAGGAGGAAGTGCCGCCATCGCTTGAGRGCCATGACGAATGCCAGCAGCTCCTTCTTCCTTGCATCATCAATTGAATTGATGGGAGGCACTTTGTGGCTGAAATACTCSACAGGGTGCCAATCGTCGCCGTCATGCTGTTCCAAGACTGCCCCAATGCCGTAACCGGAAGCGTCTGTAGTCACTCTCGTCGGCAGGGTGGGGTCATAGATACTAAGGACGGGTGCCATCAGCATAGCCGTCTTAAGTGCTTGGAATGACTGGCGTGCATCGTCATCGAATATGAAGGGCACCTTTGGTGACTGTAACCTCGTCATAGGTGCAGCAATCCTGGAGTATCCGGTGATGAATCGCTGATAGTAGCCYGCCAACCCCATGAATGAACGCACGTCCGTGGTGTTGGTGGGCTCGGGCCATACTCGGATGGCCTCGATCTTGTCCGCAAGCGGACGGATGCCTTGCGGCGTCACATAGTGGCCCAAGTACTCGAGCTCCTGCCGCGCAAATTCACACTTATCGCGGTTGGCCTTGTACTTGGCTTGTCGTAGCCGCTCCAAAACGGTGCGCAGGTGTTCCACATGCTCCTCTAAACTCCGACTGTATACCAAGATGTCGTCGAGGTAGATGAGTACGAACCTATCGAGCATGTGTCGGAACTCCGTCGTCATAACCGCTTGGAAAGCGGTTGGGGCATTCGTAAGGCCAAATGGCATAACCAGCCATTCGAAATGCCCATACCGCGTCTTGAATGCGGTCTTGTAACGGTCCTCCTGTCGAATCTCGAGTTGGTGATAGCCTGACTTGAGGTCCAGCTTGGAGAAAAAYTTGGCGCCGCCCAATCTTTCGAGAAGATCGTCAATGCGAGGGAKAGGGCCGGCGTTCTTGACCGTCTGCGCGTTGAGCTTGCGATAATCGATGCACAACCGCAGGTCCTTGTTCTTCTTCCGGACGAAGAGAACAGGAGCACCGTATGGCGATGAGCTAGGCCGTATCCAGCCTTTCTCTAGAAGGTCGTCGAGTTGTGCCCGAAGCACACTTAACTCTTCCTCGCTCATTCGGTAGATGCAACCRCGTGGAGGTACGGCCCCTTCCTCGAGAATAATCTCGTGGCGAATGGGCCGATCCGGTACTACTCCGTGCGGGCYTTCGAACACGTCGCTGTAGGCGTCGAGAAACTCGGTGATGCGTGGATCCGAAGAAGAGTCCGTCGGTGAAGCGTCATGGGGCGGGAGGGCGAGGAGAAAACATACCCCCATCTCCTCRATGTCGTCTCTGATGATGGAAGCTCGCATGCTTGCGACGGATACCACGTGACAGCTGATAGAAGAATGAGGAAGCGGCACCGTGCATGGGACTAGTACTCCGTTCCGATCACGAATGTGAACGGTGCGGCGGTAGAAGTTCACTGGGTGGTCCTCACTTCGCAGCCATGACATGCCCAAGATCATGTCGAATTTGGTGTCCAGTATGTCGAAGGACACCTCCTCACTGGCGTGAGGGGCAAAGTACACTGGGACGTTGTCTACGCACCGGTCAATGGACTTGTGCGTGCGTCCGTCCGCTAACTTGACTTGCGTAGGCTGGGACTTCCTCCGGACGCGTGGGCCAAGGCTGGCGCGCACCATGAAGTCTTGGCTGATGTAGTTGCGAGTCGCTCCACAATCGATCAGTGTGTTGCAGGTCGCCTGTCCAATCTGAATGCGGATGTGAAGTAACGGTGCGTCGATGTCGTCGTACCGCTGCGTCTTGAACTCGCGATCGATCTTCGCGATGTAGGCGTGAAGGTCGACAACCTCTGCTCCGGCGTCCATCAACGGAGCTGGTACTGCAGTGTGCAAGTACTCCCGCAGTTGTGCCAT